GAGTTGATTATACAATTTTTATTCGAAAGTGACCCGGGCAAACAGCAGAGCACACAACGAATACGCCAAACCTTGGTATTCCTAGCGTCACAGGATCCCAAAGTTCAGCCCACCTCGAAATTATGGCTACCCAAACACAAATTCATTCCCTCCACCGATCCGTCTCTGTTCGTTCTTTCACGTCTGTTCATTTGTAAAGCGATGGACTTGATTCGCACCTACACCCCCGTGAATACTAAGGCGAGCACTAACGCCGCGTTACGATTTGCACGTTCACTGAAAATTGCCTTACCGAACAATACACCGCAACGGCTATCGTTGCGTTGGCTGTTGAGACAGTTGGAAGCACACAGGGATTTGATGTACGGCACTCGGGATGTGGCCGGTCAACTGATGCACATTTGGTGTCAAACGAGCACGGATTGGAATCAGGACACACTGTCATTGCAGACCACGAGACGAACCTTTGTGGCCAATGTATGGCGTCCGTTAGAACAGACTGTGCTCCGCTTTGCTGGCTATTGTGAACGTGATCTGGCCTTCACGGAACCGTCGTTCATGTTTGTCCTGGTTGCGCTCGCGGATAGGGAACAACTGTATGCCAATCGGATCAAATCGTTGTTGTGCACTCAGTTTTGGCCTTCTCCTGCCGCGGCATACGCGCCCCTGTGGCAAACCGGGAAACGACGTTTGGTAAACAGACTGCCGTTTAGGCAATCAGGGGAATTTGGGGTCACCGTATTTCACCTAACCATCTCATGCTGCACCAACTTAATGTCATATCTTTGTTTTGCACTCAAGATTGGTGTGGTCTTAATCTATTTGTGTCGGATCCGACTTTCTTGTGTGTTTACTTCAACACCGAGTGGTGGTTTGTGTTTTTGTTTTCTGTTGGTTTTATTCCATGAAAGCTTTAGGTCATCCAGATATCACCTTGGTGTTCGTGATTGGAACGTGATCAGGCTTTGTTGTTGTTACTGCTGTTGTTGAACAGCCCATATTGACCAATGAATAATGTTTGTTGTTCTCTAATTAAAGTATAACTATTACGTCATTTCCACCCAAGGCCATCTCTCATTGAACGCTCCCTTTTCGTTCATATCCTATAAAGAGTTTCATTAGGAAATACCTGGTTAATGACGCTGGTGTCGGTGTTGTCACAAGTTGTTTGTCGAAGGACAATAACCTGCTCATTTTCTTAATTTTTTCTTTCACTGAGCTATTGAATACTATCCACATACACCATTAGATTAATTTACTAGTGTGCCGTTTTATCAAAATATCTGTTTGCACTTTGCACACGGTTTTAACCTCGAAATATTACTTCCTGTTCGCGTTGGCATTGTGTTTTTCAGCTGACATAATCTGCTAACATAACTCTGAAACGCGGGTCCCCAAAATTGCACTGTTCTCTTCTGTAATGTCAGTGCATCTTGCTCGTTACCAAAGAGCTCCTACAATTTTTAAGTTTACACTTTATTTTCTTTGACCGCTTACTCTCTCCCTTTTCGTTCATTATTGACTGCGTTTGGGTCCCTCTGGGGGACGGTGGAGTTCCCACTCGTATTCCACTTCGTTTAGTTAAATAGTTCATTACTCATTGCATGAGATTTGATATGTACTCAGTCAGACACACAATGACCTTTTGGTTGCTAGTCTCATTTATCAAGCAACACTCGATTCTCCCTCTTGCATTTCTGACTTTTTAATAATTCTTTTTCGAAAATAACGAAGCTAACACACCATTTAAAACTGAGAAGTTGAAAATGTTGAAGAAAATTGAGTGTCACATCATTGGATTTGAATTTCCGTACTTATATCCTCTCGTAATACTCCTGTAAGTTGTTGACAAGTTATATTTCAAACCATAATTGTATTTCGTTGATCAGTTTTCAACATCTAAACAGTGCTGACAAATTTACTGGTTACGGTTTTTGTTGGCTTGAAGAGGAATGGTTTTTCTTTGTTTGCATAGAAGTTTACGTTCTGTTCAATTCTAGTCCGTTTTTCCTGTTTCTCTATCAATTTATTCTGTTTTATCACCCTTTCCCCTACCCACCCACTCAAAAACTTATAAAGACAAGGTCACAGTCTGCGGCTCTGAATCAAGGTCAAATGGAAGATCAACTCCTGGCTGAGAAACAAAGGTGAGTTGTCTGTTGCGTTAACTCTTACACACTCGGTCGCACGAGTGTACCGAGGTATATTCTGTTCGTGTTGAATAAAGTTGTCGCACGTCCATACTCCAACCTGGATGAAACTCACATTAGTCACATCTTGACCCTCGACAACATCAGTAGATGTGCGATTGATCTGTGTTTTTCAAACACTGATTATTTTAGTAATGGATCGATCTGCTATGAGTGCTTGCTCATAGATTTATAACGTGGATGTGCGCATTTTTGAGGGTAATTGTATTACTCAAATAAAATGGATCGTGTTTGACATGATGAAGTCTCGAGAAATAAATGCATTCCACAGGGAATAAGTTCAGTTCAACAATTAACAACAACAATTAACCATGCACTTCCATGCGTCCTTTTTGGTTGCTGTCTCATGACTGTCCATTCGGATACAAGAGCAGAAGAAGGAAGAATGGAGTGTTGCGAACAGTGTTAAAGAGCAGATTGAGAACTCACAGGCACCAAGGTTGAAAGGATAATGAGTAGTGTTAAACTATTCTTTTCCTTATCTTACAATACATGTTTCCAGAGAAAGTATATTAATAAAACGACAAACATTAGTGAGGCTTGTTGACATGAGCGGTTGCTTTCCGAGCCTTGCATCCATAGGTCACAAACGTCGCATCAGCAGCTGGGTTGTTATGATCTGTGAAAATCTCGCTCTGAAGAAATGTACTCGAGCAATCAATTAGTTCCCAGTCATTTCCCAGAATCCTGTAAATTTTAGACTACCGTTAAAACAAACCCCTGTCTTGTACGCTTAGCCACACCCATTAACATGATTTTAGGAAACGTTTTCGTTCCTGCTCGGAAAAAAATGGACCAATGATGGAACGTAAACAAGTCATCAGTTATATGCTGTTTCATTGGTGTGATTTTTAATCATCTGTTTGTGTGCATTAGTGCCTGAGGTTGTCAGAACCGTCATTATTATCTTACTTTATTTAATCAAGGTACTGATGGTCACCATTAAGGAACAGACCTCATTATGCTGTCATCTGAGAATGTTTCATGCGTGTTTGGCCGTTTTGGAAATCCAAATTGCTTCTCCGGTTCTGGCCACTTTTCCCTCTCTCTCCCTCTCTCTCTCTCTCCCTAAACAACATACTCTGTAGTCTTCTAATTGCTGAAACATTCTCAGATGTTCCTGATCGAAATACTGCTCACATTTATGGTGACACACATCTTAAACAATGCCTGGCTGACACCAGCAAGGAATCCATTATTCTTGTTGATTGTTCTCTCATCATCCGGTTCTAAATAATATGGTCTTTTTATCTCACCTGAATTGTGTCGCTTGAAGAAAGCTGTAATAGTTTGTGAAATGTCTGAATGGCTGAATTTTTTTTCAATTTCTGATAGTTATGCTAGAATAGTCATGTAAGATGCGTGCAACTAACACTGCTGTATTTTGATAAACAATTTAATCACGAGCACCATCAATGCATGTCCAATTCGTCCTAAGCATACCATTGTCCGTTACGTGTCTTTGCGACTCCTTCTTTCCCTCTCCCGTTGGTTCCGTTTTTTTGATTTCATCTCTCTCTCTCTCTGACCTATTTCTCCTACTATTTGACAGGGGCGAAGGATACGTGCCATCGGATGTCGATAGATCGCCTGAAAGGAGTAACAGTCGTAAGTTTTTTTCTGGTTTGATTTTACCGCTTTCAAATATGTATGACATTCGGATTCACGTTTGTTGTAGTTTTATTCCGTGCCGTTCTGTAAGGTTAATGTGTGTTGGTATCGCTTGACTAAAACATCCACTATTGCACCAAAATCAGTCGTCTGCTTCTTTCCGTTTAACAAATTGTTCCTCGTAGCCCTTTCATTGTTGTTCACTGTTCCACTCACATAGTGGCCATATTCCATCCTCGGTGTTCACTATTCGCCTGTTGGATGGACTCGATTGTTCGTAACCCGTTTGTTGGATGTAAATGCGGACAAATGCCCAAGCTCAGCAAGATAATACCACTCAAGTGATGTTTGCTCAACGACTCATGATAGAATCGGCGAATTTATCTCTGACAATGCCACTACATTTAGAGATGTGTTTCAAAGATCTCGCCAGTAAATAAAATTCTTTCTAACATACCGGAAAAAAATACTGGAGAGCAATACAACCAGTGAGGTAGCACGCATGCATTCACAAATCTAACAATCAGCTTGTGGGGAACAGAAAGTAATCTCAATCGGAGTGAGAAATATGAAAACTATCTAACTTTACAGAATGTGTTTTGAACGTGCAGCGACCATGATAAATTATGTGATAGGGTGACGCCAAGGTGTTTTACGATTTTTGATTTCGGTAGGGGTTGTTGATTCGCAGAGAGGGTGGGGAACCTATCTGTAAGGGCTGAATATGGTACATCGGCCAAGAGGGAAGACACAACATCCTGATATTTAGAGGCATTCAATGAGAGGGAACAGGACAAGGACCAAGTGACAACGTCATTCAGCTTGCTTTGAACTTCTGAAACCTCTTCAGGGTTGAATGCTTTGCAGCCTATAACAACGTCATCTGCGTATTTACAGTGAATAAATGCAGGAGGAATGGGAAATTGCTTGACATACATAGAAAAGAAAAATGGGGAAAATATTGCACCCTGCAGGACACCAGAAGAAACTGAGCGAGTGGAAGATATTTTGCCGTTGAGATACGTAAACTGCCTTCTACCTGTGAAATAATCACAGATCAGTCTGCTAACGTTTGAATTTACACCACTTTCAGTAATCAGATTGAGCAACGTTTATGTAGTCTAGGAACACCATTCCGACGTTCTTACTTTTCTTATCTAGTGCCGCGGTTATTGAATAAATAAGATATGCAACGGCGTCCAGTGTTGACCGCGAACAGCGATATGCAAATTGACATATGTTGTCTTCGTCAGACTCAGTGGCAACCCACGGTAATAAGCATCTCTCAGATAATTTCACCATGACTGACGCGCAGGCGATGGGATGATATTTCCCAGGTTCCTTTTTTTGGAACGGGAGTTATCTTGGCCAGTCTCCAAATATCAGGGATTTTCCCGCTTGTAAAACAGTCATTGAATATTTTTGACAATAGGGCTGAAAGGTTGCTCGCATATACCTTGAGTATTACCGGTGATAGTTCATCAGGGCCTGATGCTTTATTCAGCTTAGTTTTCAGTAGCTGTTTCAGGACTGTGGCGGGTTCGNTACCGGGAAAGATCACTGGGAAGCAATACAACCAGTGGGGTAGCACACATGCATCCACAAGTAATCTCAATGGGAGTGATAAATATGAAAGTTTTCTAACTTTACAGAATGTGTTTTGAACGTGCGGTGACCATGATAAATTGTGTGATAGGGTGACGCCAAGGTATTTTACTACTGTTGATTTCGGTAGGGGTTGTTGATTTGCAGAGAGGGTGGGTAACCTATCTTTAAGGGCTGAATATGGCACATCGGCCAAGAGGGAAAACACATCCTGACATTTAGAGGCATTCAATGAGAGGGAACGGGACAAGGACCA